GGGGGGGCGACGGGACGGCAGGGGACGGTGGAGGGGGGGCGGGGACGGCAGTGCCAAGGGAGATGCTTACTCTGTGTTGAGACTAAACTCTATGAAGATTCCTTGCGTCGAATCTAGTAAAAAGTTAACTTCTCAGAGTTGGAGGAAGCGGGGCGGAGAGGGAGAGCTGGTCGGTGTACAGGCAACGGGCCCCAGAGCCCAGCCTGGCAGCCGTGAGCCCAGCCGTGAGCCAGCCCGGCGGCCTGGGCAGCATCTTCCCATACTCTCTGCAGCCCGGGGCAGGAACGCTCACGTCACCCGGTTTGCCAGGCAGAAGGGTGAAGCCCCTGAGTGGCATCCGGGCAGTCCCGAGGCCTTTGCTGGACAGAGACGTCACTTGGCACCTCTGACCGGCTGCCCTCAGGCCTTGCCACCCAACAATGCTGCACCAGGGCTGGCAACAACCTTTCTAGGAAGGAAGTGTGACCCGCTTCCTCCCCGTTTGGCGTGGCTGCTTTTAAGGGACCAAATCCCCACTCAGACACATCCACTGGGGTGTGGGGAGCTGAGCACCCACGTTTCCCCCGAGGGCCGCTGTCGTCTGTGCGCAAGGGCTCAGTGGGATGCCGGGGAGGGGTGGTGCTGGGGGGCTGCGGCCTGGGCCACCGGGACAGGGGAAGGGAGGCTGCTGTCCGAGCTGCGAGGAGGGCAGGGCCGAAGATCACATCAGGACTGTGGAAAACCACAGGACGGAGCGTGGTGACCGGCACCCGGGGAAGGAGCCACATGCTCCAAGCAACGGCTCTGCCTGCCCTGCCAGCATCTCCCGAGCGAAGGCTGGAGTGCACGCCGCCCGGATGGCGTTGTCCTCTCTGGGCCTTTGGTTGTTTTCTTCCAGAGGAAAGGGCCAGGCTAGATGACCTCAGAGATCCCGCTGAACTCTAAAACTGTGCGACCACATTCGAACAGCAGGATGGGATCTGACGAGCACGTATCAGATGGGCTGCATTTTCTAGGACAGAGCCAAGGCGAATCTGGAGTCTGAGATTCTCAGCTAAGAACGCACAGGAAGGCGGGTCCTCTAAAAGCACGTGTGCTCCTGGCGGTGGGCCGTGGGCACAGCCAGCTCGGAGCTTCGCACCCGGAGCACAAGTCCCAGGGAGCTGGGAGGTGTCTGGGTTAGCACTTCTCACAGCCCCCGGGTGCGACCAGGCTGCACTCCCCAGCAGATCTGGGGGAGGAGCGGGCCAGGCCGACTGATCTGAATCGGGGCCCCTCTCCCAGCAGGACTCTCAGCTGCTGGCAGCTCGCATGAGTCACTCTCCTGGAGAACACGCCATCCAGGCAAGAGCCCGAGTTTCCAGGAAACAGGCCCGAGATGGCACCGGCCCAAGAGGTGGGCTGCAGGACTGCCTCCCTTCCACGGCGCCGGCCCATCTGCACTGGTCAATCAGAAGTACAAGCTATTACCGTGGAGGGATGCGAGGTTCTGGACCCTGAAACTGGGAGTGAAGGAGAACGACTCCCCGATGGCTCCGCATCAAAAATTAAAGAGGAAATGCCCTGAGCACTTCATCAGCGCTCCCCGCCCGAAGCGAAGTGTAATGTATATTACTTTGTGTTTTAACCTCAATTTTTGCGAGGCTTTGTTCCCTTCCCCAACCCTGCTGAAAATTCAACCTCTCTATTACCACCCGAGGAATACAATAACTGGGTTTAAATTATTTATCCAAATGCTCTTTTCTGACTACCTTCCCTACTCCCAGGGCAGTACCTGCCTGGCTGCTGGCAAGCCGGGGAAGGAGGGCTGAGCTGTGTGTCAGTTTCAACATCCGAGGGAGGGGGCAGCCTCCCAAGCCCACTGGCCATTCTCCAGGGCAAGGATCCCACAGGATGCAGCATAAAAACCTCAGGCAGCGGCAAGCCCCATCCTGTACCTAGGCTTATTGTCCTCCCGTCCTCCCTGTCGGGGCACCAGAGGCCCTTCCTGTCCCCTCCTCCCCTCCCTGTAAGGGAGAGGACTCTGGGCTGGGAGGTGCCGCAGCATGGAGGCTGAAGGCCACATTCACAGCCACCTCAGCCAGGCAGACTGTGTCTTGCCACGGGGCCGTGTCCGTGAGTCTGCCTCAAGCACCACACAGCCCTGCTGGGATGTCGCCGTGGGGTTAGTGGCCCAGGGACACTGTCACAGCCAGTGTGGGTCCCCCAGAGGAGGCGGGAAAGTTAGCACTTCTCACAGCCCCCGGGTGCGACCAGGCTGCACTCCCCAGCAGATCTGGGGGAGGAGCGGGCCAGGCCGACTGATCTGAATCGGGGCCCCTCTCCCAGCAGGACTCTCAGCTGCTGGCAGCTCGCATGAGTCACTCTCCTGGAGAACACGCCATCCAGGCAAGAGCCCGAGTTTCCAGGAAACAGGCCCGAGATGGCACCGGCCCAAGAGGTGGGCTGCAGGACTGCCTCCCTTCCACGGCGCCGGCCCATCTGCACTGGTCAATCAGAAGTACAAGCTATTACCGTGGAGGGATGCGAGGTTCTGGACCCTGAAACTGGGAGTGAAGGAGAACGACTCCCCGATGGCTCCGCATCAAAAATTAAAGAGGAAATGCCCTGAGCACTTCATCAGCGCTCCCCGCCCGAAGCGAAGTGTAATGTATATTACTTTGTGTTTTAACCTCAATTTTTGCGAGGCTTTGTTCCCTTCCCCAACCCTGCTGAAAATTCAACCTCTCTATTACCACCCGAGGAATACAATAACTGGGTTTAAATTATTTATCCAAATGCTCTTTTCT